ATAAGTTTGCAGATACCCATCAACCACGGCTAAGGTAAATCTCATAGGGTCTGACTCAGAAAGCTATTATCTGAACAGGCAATGATTATGATCCTTGTGATATCCCATCAAATTAAATCATTTTGAATCATTTTAAAGAGGTGTCCATAGAGACTGAGCCACAGCTTTTCCTGTAGTTTGACATGGTGTTTATGGACTGTATTCTTAATACACTTTGAATTTATTTGGAATACTATTTTGGCCTTTTCATACATTGTTGCCCCTTTTCACAGATTTTTAAATAAAGGTTCTGCTAATGGGGTTAGGTCCCTAATGTCATTTGGGCAGATGCTTGCCTTCAAACCATGTTTTAGAGAAACCTGTACAAACACGTTCCCTTCAGTGGGCTTGCTCAGGTAAAAGTGGAGCTTAATTAATGCACAAGAAACAAAATGAAATCTAGGGAATCAGGCCCCTAGTCCTTCAACATGACTCTGGATTGAGCAAAAGGTGCTATTTTTGTCCAGTAATTTAATCTTCAGGAATTTTCTTGCTTTTAAGGGATCAAATCAAATCCTAAATTCTAGTATTTTTTGTTTCTAAACTCATACTTTTATTTTGCTTAGTTTATATTTTGTACATTTAATAGTAACACAGTATACAGTAATATAAATAAATACCAAAAATAACCCTAGATCAGTTGCTTGAGGAAAACCCAGTTTTAAGAAACTAATTATGGGAGCTGTCACTGGGGAATAATTGCTCTAACAACACCTAAATGCTGTTAGGAAGCTGTAGGTATTCCCCAGATGAAACAAGTAATAGTCTTCCCACACATTTAATATAGCTAGTTTAATGAGTTTCAACTGGTGCCATTTGTTGGTACCTAGAGAATTTATAATAAAGCCTTATGTCAAAAGACCACATTTTTCTCTCTTATTGCAGCAAGGTCTTTAATTTGAAACAGATTAGCTCCAAAGAGCTAATTCACCCACACAGATATGAACCAGAACTTTAATATGCACTTTTGGAGGATTGTAATTTAAAGCTCCTTTTGTTTCATACTCACATGGACTAGCTAAAAGTGAAGATATTTTCAGATTTGGAAGTGACAGCATTCACACATGTGTATTAAAAAGGACAGTACACAGATATACCACTTAAATTTCTCTCTCAGGAAAGAAATTGGACATTTTTTGAAAAAAAAAACTTACAGAGCTATCAGGGACAAATGGCAAAATACTTTAGGCAAAGCACTAATATTATGAGCCACGTACAGATTCACAAATAACTTGTCTTTTTTTCACTGCAGGAAGAAGAAGCGCACAAAGGAAATCTTCAAAGGTAAGTAAAGCTGATGGGAAAAGCACCAGACAGCTAGCTAACTGACAAAACTTTGGACTCATTTGTGGCTTTGCCACAAACTCTGGTGTGATACAACTTTGCTGCCCCAGAACAAGACTGGAAAGCAGATAAATGGATTTACCCAGCAGTTAAATATGCCACAATATAGGCCTTTTCTTCTCTTGCTAGTTACATTGGGCCGAATTCAGCCATGGGACAAATAGGTGCACTATTGAAATGAATAGAGTAGCAGCCTGCACTAAGTCTGAATCTGATCCTAGTCTTCATTAAAAATTTGGTGTAGAATGTTTTTTTTACTCACTACAATACCACACTATAAAAATAATCAAACTTACTACTTACAGACATTTAAAAAAACCCAAAACAGTGCTTTACTTTAAACTCTGTACACCCTTGCACCAACCCCAGCACATGCCAAGAAGAGACGTCACATTAGTTTGACCTAGCTCGCCCAACCTCTGTATAGATAGGGCGCTTCAGCAGGGCTTTTTTGGTGCTTTTATCTAATAGCTGATTTAATTAGTTTTTAATAAAAGCTCAAAAAGCCCTGCTGAAGCGCCCAATCTATATAGTTCAGGTTGAACTAATGCACTGCTTCTTCCAGTAAAGCACTTTTTGTTTTGTTTTCTCCATGTTTGTCAGCATCCTTTGTTACTCATGGTCTACCCATCTAGTCTGAATTTGCTTATTGGGTGTGCATAGATAATTAAGATGATTTACATTTATAGAGTCTTTTCCATCCAGAATGATTCCAGTGTGTTATGACTTTCCTTACAGTCAAGCAATCAAAAGATTCAATTAAATGCTTTTACTTTCTAGTAATTAACAAACTTTATGGAAGCCCAAAAATTCTGTGTAATATACCACAGTTTCTCCACCAGTTAGAAATTTGCTTTTGTAAAGTTGCAGCATGAGCCAAACTCATGAAATAAGGTAAACATGACAGCCTCAAGGCTCAGAGGGCTGAGAAGTATCACCTGCCTGTGAGGGCTCATTGACTTCAATGAAAGTTATAGTACTCAGTAACACTCTATTCATTTCTGCTATTTGCATCTTTAAAAAATATGCCTCCTGATGTTATAGAGATTCATTTTAATGGATAATTTATGTTTAAAGTCTGTTCTAAAGCTATATATTTTAAATGTTTTTTCCCCAAGCAATAATGCTTGAGAAAATAGTAGAATAAGAGGCATGAATTAAGTGTTTCTTACATTTAATGACCCATCAGGCCTGTTTGCATTATACAGCAATTCAAAAAGCAATAAAAGGAATTTAAGAAAAAAGGAAATGGTTTTGTACATGACTTGATAAGGATGCTTGGGATCCATTTTTTGTTCTCTTTTAAAGTAGAAATGATTCTATAGCAGTGTTCAGGTGAGGTTGATATTTCTTTAATATTTCTATAAGCATTTGCAGTATTAATGTTTTAATGTTAATTAATATTTGTGTTTCTCTCATCAGGGCAATGTCTGTTTCCTCCATGTCAGAGTTCCAGCGTTTGATGGATATTTCTCCATTCCTCCCTGATAAGACCCTGCCATCTTCTAGCAGCAAGGATGATATAACACCTCCCCTCTCCCCTGATGATCTGAAATACATTGAGGAATTCAACAAAAATTGGGATTACAGTAACCCAAGGAACCACACTGGGACTACAGAAAAGCCCACAGAAGCCTGGGCAGAAAGGACAGAGATTGGAAAAGCAGGGAGTGACCCAAGTTCAGATCCATTCCAAGCATCATCATGGTACCTCACCACCAGTGTCACTATGACAACAAATACTATGACCAGCCCAGAACACTGCCAGAAGCAACCTTTGAGGAGTCATGTTGTAACAGAAAAAGCAGGAGTTAGGGTCTTTCACAGTCCGCCACTTGTCCGTAGGTTTGATAATTCAATGATAGGTGGCAGTGAAGGGAAAAAGCAGGTTGAGCCAGACTTTTTGTTTTCTGTGACCAAAGCAATGGGGAGTGTTGGTGAAACAAGAGGTGCTTCCTCAGATGTGTTTGGCAGATGGTCTTGTGACCTCACCAAACACCGTAAAGAATTTCTGGAAAGTGGTCTTCATCCCATTGAGCGTCCAATATGCACTACTGTGGGCTTTGCATCACCCTTGCATAGCCTGGAGTTGTCCAAAAACATGAGTGATGATATGAAGGAGGTGGCTTTCTCTGTCAGAAATGCAATACGTTCTAATTCTAATTCAGCGGAGCCTCAGTTTAAGGACACAGCTTGTCAAACCAATGGTGTGAGAACAACAGGAACGCAGACCACCCAGACTATCAGTGTTGGCCTGCAGACCGAAACCTTGCGTAGCATCACCAGCAGTCCACACAAGTGTCTAACACCAAAGGGGGGCTCCACACCTGTCTCATCACCATCTAGAAGCTTAAGGAGCAGGCAAGTGGCCCCTGCTATTGAAAAGGTCCAGGCCAAGTTTGAACGTACTTGTTGTTCTCCAAAATATGGTTCTCCAAAGTTACAACGGAAAATCCTTCCAAAAACAGATCAGCCAAATAACCGGGCCTTACCAGGTACACCTCAGAAAGGATTCAGTGAGTCAGCTTGGGCGAGGTCAACTACTACGAGGGAGAGTCCAGTTCACACCACAATTAATGATGGTCTGTCCAGTTTGTTCAATATTATTGACCACACCCCAGTTTTTCATGAGACTTTCCAAAAATGCACCAGGTCTAGCAGCCGCTCTAGATCAGCAGAACCCAGGTCAGACTTGGGGCCTATGCAGGAAATGTGTGCCCGTGGTAGATCACCCAGTCCCCTACGTTTGGGTGCAGAGATGCAAAAAGAAGAAGGGGCTGAGGTGGCAAACATCAGGCAGGACTTATCTGCTCCTCCAGGATACACTCTTACAGAAAATGCTGCCAGGATATTGAATAAGAAACTTTTGGAGCATGCCTTAAAGGAAGAGAAACGACTAGTCTCACACAGCCCGCCAAATCTTAGCAATGACAACAGCACAGGAGAAATAATCAAAATAGAACAAGGGTCCATTGAGGTAATGAGTTATTTTTCCTGCAATATTTTTTTCTTTTTCCTTAAGAAAATGTTACCAGAGCTTTTATTATTCTAAGTGTTTATCTTTATTCTTTTGGTACTGTGGTGTCACCTTGGAGCATCAGCCATCAACCCATTGAATATTAACTGTACAAGACAGGAAAAAAGAGTATCTCTCAATTCTACCGAGATTACACTTTAAAGTATAAGTAAAGAAAGAAATTTAAGTGCACAAATGCTAATGGTTCTCCCCCCATCACATGTCAGCAATCAGGGTTTCTTGCAATCAAGCACATTGGTAATTATGGATGTTCTAGAAAAACTGCATGTTTGGAGGGAATTTTTATAATGAAAGAAATGGTAGCATATATCATTTTCCAAACCAGCACAGACAATTTATTTGGTAAAAATCCACGGTAAAAGTAGTGCCTACAATAGATTTCCCTTCTCGCACCATTACCAAAAAACAGGTCACTTTTCTGGATATTTTGAAATAAGCTTGGCTCTTCTGTGTAGATTCTCAATATAAATGTGATCAAATGGCATAAATCTTGAAAATGTATTCTTGCAGCCTTGCAAAATTATCATAAAAATTGACCACTCAAGGCCCAAGCCTATTGTAAAGAAATAAATATCCATATTTTATTCAGCTCTTAAAAATTTACCAATCATAATTTATTCTATGAGGGTTACCTAAATGTTCTGGGTCAGATCTCCTCCTACAGGCAAAAAAAATGAGGGGGAATGCAAAGTTGAACTAATGCTCAATTACAGAATGATCTTCTATTACTGGTTAATGTTTATGGATAAATGTGTGGTGTAACAATTTTTTAAGTGTCTTGACATCTCTAAATATCTCAACCTGTCTCAGCTGGATTCTAACTTTAGCATGGTACAGAAACAACACTTGCCAATGATTGATCTATGGTTAGATTCTATGCCTTATTTTGTCCTTTTCATATCACTCCAGTATCTCCACTGTGTTCTAGCAGTCCATGGTGTACTTAGGACTATTGACAACTGGGTACAAATTGGAATAATTCTGAGTCTCATCTAGGCAGTGCAAAAAGATTGAACCAGGGGCTGAACTGGTCCCTGGCCAGCCCTAGGATAGGGTGGTGACAGAAGTATCAAAAAGGTGAGTTGGAGGTTTGGGTAGATGTCTAATACTACCAGCAGATTTCTCAGCTATTGCTTATGCAACAGATTATGACAAAAAAGATGAGTCCTCCAGAGGTGCCCTTGGGTGGCTGATGATTCCTGCCCTTGGGTGACTTAATTCTATTCTGTTAGATATCCCAGAAGGAAATATTGTATATTAGCTCTTCTGCCCTACTCATTTTCTCTTCAGTGTTACTTCAGGGCTCAATGCTATCTTTCCACTCATGGATGTGAGACTGTTAGCAGAATTTGTGAGGAAGTACTAGGTGAAGTGTTTTCAGTTTGCAAATGTTATCTAGCTCCATACCATCATTTCCTGTCCAACATGAGGTGTGTGGTTGAGTGCTGGCCAGACTTTATGCAGATAAAAGTAGAACGATTATGGTGATTGTGATGATTATGGCAGTATGGTATAAAGCAGGCTTCAGCAACAAACAGTCCGTGGACCTACTGGAGGATTTTGCCTCTGCCCGCACCCATGCTGGGGCTGGGCAGTGTGGACCTGCGTTGGCCTGGGCCACTGGAAACTGTGCCCACATCGCTGCCGCTTCCCATCCTCTGCTCCCTGGGTGCAGCTTCCAAATGACAGAGAACTGAGTGAAAAAGTAATGAAAAGCAGCGGCAGCAACATGGACGCAGTTCCCAGCTGCCCATCCCAAGTATAGCTCCTCATCAGTTGGTAGCTCTGCTCCCACCCCAGCTGTGAAGTGGGGGTGCTGAGAATACCAGTGGTGGTGCTGGCACAGCATGCAGCTATTTGGCCCTGGCACAGGTAGAGGCATCCCACACTTGCTGCTGATGTGCTGCCAAATCTACCCAGTCCACACTGGCCTGGACCTGAGTTGTTCCAGCCTCAGCTTGAAAAGGTTGCTGGCCCCCAGTTAATCAAGATACTGGTAGGAGCTTAGCCACCAATAAACGAGGAGTACTGAGCTCAGCATGAGCTAATTTAGCTTGTCAGTAACCATTTTTGTGACGGTAGTATAGACACACACTGTCTCCCCTTGTTCCCCTGAGATCTACAGAGCTAGAGTTGAAACACCGGTGGCTTATAAATGAGGGAATTGTTCGTAAGGATGCCTGTTCTCATTCAGGACCCCTCTAATTTAGAGGTTCACTCTTACCTTCCCCAGATAGCCTTAATTCATTGACCTTTAAGTCATGGCTTTACGCCCATTTGTGAAAGCTAGATTCTGGGAACATGAGTTGTGAGAGAATTTGATCTGCAATTTTGTTGTTGTTGTAATGGACTTAAATAGATGAAGATTGCTTCTCTGTTGTTTGTACGGAATGTTCTTATAAATGACAGCAGAGCATCTAGTGGTTCTTACCATTTTCAGACTCAAGTCACCCATCACTAGATTCAAGGCACCCCTCAAAAAGTCAGCTCTTAACTTTCACTCATTTTCTGACTATGAAAAAATAGTACAACAGTAATTCTTAATCAGGGTGCCATGGCACCCTTGCGTACATTGAGATCCTTTCAGGGGTTTCATGGGGTGTCACACAATGTTAACACTGTTAGGTGTATAAGCATGATTCACAAGGTAAACCTAGAGATGTCAAATAAGAATTTATGGTTTTAAAAACACCTTGACATATTGCAATCTTTCTGAGTTCTTTGCAACAGAAGAACTGCTGTTGAAATCTGTGGGGGGGTTTGTGAATTATGTGTATGTACTTGCACACTTAACAGTGCTAAAATTGCATGGCACCCTTATCCATGGTACCCTGGCTGAGGATCACTGATCTAGATCCTGGGATAGGTACCTTCATGTTTAAAGAGACATACCAGCAGAAAGAGAAAGAGTTAAACATAAACAAATTTGAAATTTTTATTTGTAATATATGATGGAGCTTGGGGTTTATGCACCCACCTCAGAATAAATGAGTAATGGAAGGAACAGCTTCAGTGATTTGGATTATTCTGGCTATTTATATAGTTTATGTTGAATTGAAAATCCAAAATATTGATGATAGATTACAGTTCCCTAAAGTTTAATGTGTAAAAATATGCTTTGTACTGTCACAGTTTCATCTCAGCTTTGCCTTCAAGACGTAAGTGAAAGCTAAAATTTCCCAGCTGTACCTTTAAATGTCTCAACCGATTTCAAATACATGAAAACTTGTAGCACATCACCACAAACTTTCTGATTAAAATAAGAAAGAAAAACTTAATTCTGACTTCAAAATCTGGAGCATGACATGGTGAGAGTAATGCCTAATATAATTTACCGGACATTTATTTATAGTGCTTACACAGATATGTGCAGATATTTTGAGAATTCTCAAATACCCTTTGCCTAGAGGGGCACATCTTTCCAAATGGCTAGACAGTAAACTGCACAGCCCTGCATAGAGGGTGTTACAGGGTTTGTAGCAGCCTGTAACCCTCAAATAATCTGGGAGAGTTCTCCCAGGTTGTCCTCCTGATAGAGAAACATATGCAGAGCCAGGTGTACAGAGACTTGAATGCTGAGGCCCTGAAGAGTAGAGAGCTTGCTGTGCAGTTGGTAGGTGGGCGGGGGAGGAGGGTGGGGTAAAGGACCACCCCCCCATGCACACATCTCAGCATTCTCTACTGGCTCCCTTAGTTTGCCTTGTGACAGATGTCAGTAGTGCGTAGGGCAGCTTGATTGGTTGCCCCAGACTTGCCAGGATCAGGATTTGTTTCCCTGCAACCATGAACGACTGGCACCTCCCGAGACTGGGGGGAAGCATGGCGATGAGCAGGGACCACCTGCAGCCACTGCCAGCAGTGTTGGCAGCAGCAAGCGGTGAGTGAAGGCCACCTGAAGCTGCCACCAGCAGAGTCAGCAGCGGGGAGGGGGGTGGCAAGCAGCAAGCGGGGACTGCTCACAGCCACCACCGGCCCTGTCAGTGACAAGTTGGGGGAGGGTATGGGCAGCAACCAGCCGCAGAAGTCAGCAGCAGAATAGCCAGCGGCCAGTCTTGGGGGGGGGGACACCCCCCATTTCCCCCTATGGGTTACCTATGCCTGCAGCACAATGTGGGAATTGTGAAAGGAGTGTGTTCTGCTCCCTACTGTGGCAGCAGAGTCCAGCAAGTGATACAATCTCCCTTGGGGTAGGGCATAGGATGGTAGGAGACTGTGTTCTCTCCTGAGCATGGCATGTACAGACATTCACACTCTCAGGACAAACTCTCTTGGAAGCAATTGAATCCTAGTTGTTACCCAGTTAATTTTCTCCTGGAGTAGCCATTTTTATTCTGGGAGAAAAAGCCTGAACATCTGTACTGTCATGGTTTTTCCTGGGAGAGCAGCGACTCTCCCCCCAAAAAATGAATGTCTGTACAAGGCTGCAAAGCCACACTGCCTCAGGGGAAGGGAGGTACCAGGAAGAAACTGTATCAGGAAGATAAGAGTTTCTTTTGGAGCTTCTCACATACACTGAGGTTACACAGTATATTCCATCTGTTCCCTCAGTGCACCAGCTTGACTCTGCAGTTTGGTGCAGAGATGGGTGGGACCACAAGAATACCATCTTTCTGCCTTCTTACCGTGCTCCCCACTTTTTGGGACCTGGTTATCTGGTACGGATTAGGAAGAAGTATACCTCTGTTTTCTAGAATGCAGGGGCTAGCTTGGGAGGCCTGTGAACTGCTGCAAACAAGGAAGAGGAGGCTCCTTGCTTCTCCTCACCTGGACCTGAGCAAACATTTGGGTTTAGAGGTAGTGCTCTAGCTGCGTGGGTTTACAGCAGCGGTGGGCAAAATATGATCCACGGGGTGAATGCGGCCCATGAGGCCATTCTATCCATCCCGCGGGGCCCCTGAAAAATTTAGAAAATTAATTTTTCTCTGCTCAGCACCAGCTTC